CGAGGAGCTCATCGACCACCGGTATCGGAACTTGTCCTTGGACGCCTTGGCGTTGAGGGCGCGGTAGTCAATGCGAAGCGCCACGACCGGTCCGCCTTTGCGCACCAAAGAAGACGGCGCCGAAAAGGTGAAGTGGTCGGCCGATGATCCCTTGGTGAGCATGGCGCGCGACCGCCGCTCCAGCTAAATCCCTTCAGTCAGTCGATATAGCGGTAAAGCATCGCCACCGCCGTGCATACCCGTGTAAAGTGGATGCGGTGGTCGTGCGCTTTCCACGCCGGCGGAAGGCCCGTGGGTTCGATGAAGACGACGGCGTCTTCTTTGAGGAGGAGGCGTCCGGCCGATGCCGCCGTGGTCGGGGCGTGCATGCCGGCCAATGTGTCTTAGAGGGGTGGAGAGGGTGCAACCGCCCACCACTCCACCGCCAGTGACGCGGCGGTCATCGCGCCAAAAACGACAGGTGAGGGCCTCGCATCCCCATAGTATGGGGCCCAAGGTGCGGATGAAGTCGAAGCCCATGATGAAGTCAAATCGCCCAAGTTGAGGCCGACACACGTGATGGCGAAGTCCTCGTCGTCAGATGCGAATGGGCACGCTTGCGCGCGATGCCCTCACAAGGCATCACGGTCGCCATTGGCCACCGTGATCCGCAGGGCGCCCCCGCCACGGAACGAGGCCCAGCGGCGCATGGTCTCCCCGACACGGTTATGGGTGGAGCCCGTGTCGAGGAGGGCGAGAAGCGTCGCCCTTGATGACGACGGCGGCAAGACATGGAGTTGGCGGCTCGAATACCGCAATACCGAGGGAGACCACAAGGCGTTAGCGGCGACCATCTCCGCCCGGCTAACTCGGCCGGACGGGGTGTCCTCGATTGCCTCCACGGAGTCTCCACGATGTAGTCGCCGACCTCCGTGTAGAAGAGGCGCTTACACGCGTGCGTCACGTAAGGCTCGCGTCACGATTGAAGCATAGCCTCGGGCGACGGCGCTCTCCCATTGTTTTCGTCCCGGAGAGCCGACGAAAAGTGGGCGCCGGTGTCGATGTAGGGAGCGGCGGCGCAGTGGAGGACCGCTTCGGCGTCCGTCTTCGCGAGTCTGAGTTGACCGCAGGGCGGCCGGGCGCCACGAGGTCAGGCGAAGGCGGTGGAGATACGCAATCCTCGAACGCCTGCAAGCAAGTACATGGCGGTTTGGAGGTCGGGCGGTGCGCGAGTCAACTCGCTGCGGAGAGTCTGGTCCGGCAGCCCGCCAACGCATAACTCCGCCTTTTGGCGAAGCGGAGAGGTTGCGGGCGTGGCAGGATGGCATTATGGCGCCCGGTAATCCCGCACGGAAGAACCAAAAGGAAGGCGGCAAGCTCCGCCAACCGTGTGCCTGAGCAGGGGGCCGAAGCGAGCGAACATAACTTCGCGAAGCGCTCCCAAGGGGGGCATGCCTCGCCCCTCTCCGTATGTAGTACCATGTCCGGCAAAGACCGAAGATGGTAGGACGCGAGCCATGTGCGCGCGGATGCTAGCGTCTGCTGACCGCGGAAGAACTGCTCGCACTGGTTCAACCAATTCAGGGGGTCTGCCGAGCCGTCGTACGTAGGAAACTCCAATTTGTAGAATTTGGGCCCGCTTGTGCTTCGCCAGGGCAAGCAGCACTCAAGGCCCGGTCAAAGCCCCCTTCTTGCCGGCCGCCCCGAGGAAGAAGGCGCGCTCAAGAATGAACAATGAGCCGCCCACCCCCGAGAGAGAGGACCGCCGGGAAGGCGGGTTGGAACCGCTGTTGTCGCGATCGTCGTGGAGGGTGATGGGGTTGTCGACGTGGCTATCGAGTAGAAGCGAGCGAGCAGCCAAACCGCACGGACGGCCGCAGCCAATCGCAATGTGACGGCGAGGCCGCCATTGCAACAGATGGAGCGGAACTCCGCCCCGATCGACGGCATGCCGTAGGGTAGGAAATCGTTGGCGATGGGGATCGGTCTGCCGTGGGCACCGGCGGCGAGCGATGGTGGTGCGGGAAACGCGGCGGTGGAGGCACTGGAGCAGCCGCCCACGCCGTCATGCATGGAGACCACCGCGTTGGCGATCGATCAACCTTGGCCCCAAATGATTCCAACGTCGGGTCGGGCAGAGGCGTTGACGCCTCGACAACTCCGACGACGCAGCGGTGTCGGCGGCGAAGTGGTCACCGGATGGAGGAACTTCGGAGGAGCAACGATCGTCATCGAACCGAACAACGCGATACCAAAGTTGATAGGATTACGGATCCTACCGCATAGAGATCACGGAGTCTCAGTAGGGGTGAGAGGGAGGTGGAGCAGGCTGGGAACCTCGCTGCGGGCGGCTGGACGCCGTGGTGGAGGATGGGCGGCTGCTGCTGTAGCCCTAACCTTCACGCGGCTACAGTAGCGGCGGCACTGTTCATGCGTGAACAGTAGAGGCGGCTAGGGTTTCTCCCGGCTCCCTGAGGAAGCCGGAAACAATAATATGTTTCTGCTTAATCTCACAAATAGAGTCTTACAAATATTTATGTCTCTCTAATAGCGATAATTATAAAATAACCCTCTACCAATACTATAATTGCGACAATTATATGGGCCATAGCCCTTTGATGGCCGGCTTCCCTCCTAGCCCTTAGCTGGGCTGCGACGGCTGTAGGGGATGCCGGTCATAACAGGGGATGCGCTCAACTAAAGGGAGAGCAACTGGACGTTGGAAGCAGATATTAGATCCTTATTTTCATCACTCTCAGCTTGACCAATGCTCTCGTTGGGCCAGCCACTTAGCTTGACCAAATGTTACAGGGCCTCGTTGGGACACAAGTGGGTGGAGCATGCCAATGTTTATTGGCTCTCTAACCCATCTGTATGGCCGTATGTACATGTATGGCTATGAGAGTGGGGATGCGCTCAACTAAAGGGAGAGCAACTGGACGTTGGAAGCAGATATTAGATCCTTATTTTCATCACACTCAGCTTGACCAATGCTCTCGTTGGGCCAGCCACTTAGCTTGACCAAATGTTACAGGGCCTCGTTGGGACACAAGTGGGTGGAGCATGCCAATGATGTAACAGTGTAACACTTTTCATTTAGAAGATCAAGGTCAAAACTACATACTATTCATACCTCAATTCATTTGTGTATCAGGGTAGCCACACCCAATTTTACTAAAGATTACTTTACCCTTTGCCAACAATTATAAGCCACTGCTCGGGCTTTATAGATGGAGTAGTGTCTTGGTTTACCTTCAAAGTCGACAATGAGGTTTAGTTTCAAAGTCGACAATGAGGTTCAGCTCCAAGATATCTGTGTTGATTACTGTATCCTTTACCAACAATTATAAGCAACTGCTTGGTTACAAGTGGGTGGATTTTGGAAAAATCTAGTTGTTCTAAATTAAAAAGGCACACTACCTGTAGATTCTATTTTGGATGCAGTTATTGTCCTATCAAACTACTGACACAAGGAAAGCTTGTGTGATCGAGTGACACAAGGAAAGGAGAATGAGGAATAGCCACCATCGAGAGTATATTGAGTGACAATAGTTTGCTGCCACAAGGCAGGGAAAGACCCAAGGAGGGTAGTCTATATCAAATAAAGGAGAATGAGAGATAGCCACCATTCAAGAACGTTTGCACCACCATCTTATACTTTTCGAAGAAATATATTAGAGTATATAAATAGTTTGCTTGGTAAATAAGAACGCAAGTAGGAAGGCCTTTGGCCCATTAGCAAAGCGAAACAACAATTGACCAAAGCCCAGGGCTTGTTGCCCGTCATTTCAGCTTAGATCGCAAATCTTAGGTCTCACGTACTACCTCTCGACGTCTCGTCTCGTGTCGTAACGCCGCATATGCTGCCGTCGTGAAGAAGACAGCCAGTGATGAACTTGGCCATTCAAAAATGAGGAGGGAACAATAATAAGTGATCGATCTCTAAATTTTGTTTTTTATCTTTTGATCTAGACACCTACTTGAATAGCATTCAAAGGCCATGTCAGATTAGAAAATTTGAATCGAAAGTTTCAAAAGCGTAAGAAGAAACAAAGAATAGAGAATTATTAGTCATCATATGGATAGATTTGTTAATGGTCAAAGTGTCGTCGATAATCCAACACTTGCTTTCATCAATAATATTGATAATGATCCTATAGATCCTCCGGGGCATAATGTTGAAGTTGAGGAAGTGACAACACAAATACTCGATTCCTTCTAAATGCTAGCCATGCATATATTTGATCCAAGATCTTTGGGATTCACTTGATAGTAGACAAGTTGACATTTTAGCACAAAAGGGCCCTAAAAGAGACCTATCAATTCGAAGGGTCCTAAGGACATGTTTCTAGAAGATTTTCTTCACTATTCTATGATAGAATTCTCATGGAGAAAGTCTACTTGTTATTCAAGTAAAGATTATGTAATATAGGTATCATTCTTGATCTTGATATATGCAACTCTAGCTTGCTTTAGAAATTTTTTTTTTTCTGGCTAATAGGCCTCATTTCTCCGTCATGGCCTCTAATTTTCTCTAATTGCATAATGACTTAATGCTCATATCGTTCATGGTTACTACATGAATATCGGAGCATATCATGCACTCTAGCTTGCAGAAATCTGGTACTCCCATGGCCATTCTCATTCAGCTCCAGCTTTTCAGTGTAGCTGTGTAGTGAGCACTACATGCAATATGTACCTTGCTAAAGAGATACCACATGATCAAAGTTAGAGAAGTTTGGCTTAGGAGTTAAGACAAGACTAAAGTGAACTATAATTTGAAATGGAGGGAGTCTCTCTTAACTGCATCATATGAATTATACTTGAAGGCACATAGTCCGGTTCTACTGGTAGGGATCAGACTAGGGAGTTGTTGGCTTGGGACAGTCATTGAGCCAAGCCATGAGGCATGCTGCTGCTGGAAATAAAGGCTCATGTGTCATGCATGGACAGTTAAACAACGTACTTGCATAATCAAATGGCATTCCATAGAGACATTGCAGTTCAAATTCAACAGGAGGTCAGGAGTCAAGATAATAAGCTGCAAAACCCAGTATTTCTTTCTGAAATGGTAACTGAACATCCAAAATCGTTCCATTGTCATGAGACCATCATGAATAGTCAGTAAACTGTATACAGTGATCTGGTCAGCAGAAGGTTAATACCATATCGTCTGTAGTTATGTCAGCTCATCAAAATCAATATCATGTTTAGGTCTTGCTTAATTCAGTCGCTGTCCAACAGTATATAGCACAAAATGAGAGTGGCAAATGAGGGCAAAGAGTGGATGGGTACGAGGACTGAGGAGCCAACCTACCGTGGCGGCACGCGAACGGCAATCTGATGTCCTGCGCCTCCGCGGTGTGTAGAATGTACTGGTCCTGTCACGACCATGAGCCCATGCCAGTGGCGGTTCCCCGGCCGGGGTTGAGAAACATACACAGGAGTATAATGCGTTGGGGCCTTGGGGGCGAGGCTGTGTACCTCGGGCACGACGAATTCGTGGACGACCCCGCGCTGGCGGTCGTGGACGGTGACCTTGTGAGTGGGGACGGTAGTGGAGGCCGGGCGGGGCGCTTGCTGCAGCTCCGAGGCGCGCGCCCTCGTGCCCCGGGCCGGGCGGTCCGGGAGCAAGGACGCGGAACCGACGAGGACGCTGGCGCTCCTCTTGCTCCTCCACAGGCACGGCCCTCTCCGCGCCCCGATGCGAGCCCTGCAAGCAGCAACGAGCAAGGATTGCCCAGTGCACCCAGTCAATTGGGAAGGAGTCGCGAATGGTGGTCATTTGGGGCTGGGGAGGAAGAGTACTAACTACGGTGGTTGAGCTGGAATCATGAGAGGAGAGACATGGGGGGACTCAGGGAGTGTACGTACGTGGTGGCGGCGGGGCAGGCCATCATGCGGCCGTCGGCCTCAGACTTGGTTGAGGAGCGAGTCCGGCCCCCGGCGGACGGGTTGGACGCCGACTGCCGCGCACTGGCGCGAGGGGGAGGGGAGAGAGCGTGCGTGACGAGTGACGACTGCTGCCGAGCGAGCCGTGAGCGAGCAAGACGGGAATCCTAGCGCGACGCCGCGACTGGCTCCGGAGCGGATAAGGCCAAAGGGGGCCTCCCTGCCGTTCGGTGTCCGTCCGCCGCTCGTGCCATCGTGTGTACTGCGGCTGAGTGGGATGGGCTAGGCAAGGTCGCGTTGATCGCTCGGCCTCCGCCCCGGCCCAGTAGGAGTGGAGGAGGATGGAGTCGTGTCGTGCGCGAGGATTTTTTAAATCCTTTTTTATTTAATATTTTAATAATAAAAATTATAGATCTGACGGTCCCATTGGCGCGACCACTCTGTCGTGTCGACGCATGTGGCGCGGCAAGATTTGCCATGTTGGACGACACCCGTTGGTGTGACAGTATTGTATTGTCGCGCCACCAGGAGCGGCATGAAAGAATAAATTTTCGAAAAAGCATAACTCTTCAATACAGCGTCGGATGTAGACGATTTTATATAAAAATTGTAGATCTCGACGAGATCTACAACTTTTTAGTTTTGAGTTTTTTCATTTGAGAATGTCAGAATGCTAAAAAATAATATAAAAGTTCAGCACCATAATAATCGCATACTAGCGCCATAATATGTTAGGATAATTGTACATCACATATGGGAGCCTAGCTTAATAACCCTGTGATGATTTTGATCTAGCTATTTTTAGACAATTCTCCAACCCAACAAGTTGTATATATGAAAGCCATACGTCCTATGTTCTCAGGCCATTTGAGGCATTACTCGCCTAAATCTTGAACCTTGGATGTGCTAAAGTGATATGCCACGACTCTCGAAGAGCATAAGAACACAATCTCTTTGTAGGGATGGAATCCAAGTATCAGAGACCCATATGTATTTTCTGTGTCGTAGTAATCTTTAATATCCACGGCGTCCTCATCGTCAGTGTCCCAATCTACATTCTTTTCCTCCTCCACTGTCGTATCGCAATAATCTTTAACGTCCACGGCGCTCTCATCATCATCAGATTCCCAATCTAAATCCCTCAAATTCTTTTCCACCTCCACCGCTGGGCCCGGTTTAAATTCTTGGTGTGACTCGCCGTCGTCTTGCAAAATCCAAGGGTTGTCCGTTTGAGCAGCAGGACTGTCCCAGAAATGTGTTATCAAATCATGCAGGTTTATGCCGTGCTTGAATACCCACTGCACCTTGCCATCAGATTCGTCGAGGAACGACACGAGGGCTCGACATGTGTCGTTAATGATCGTTGCGTGGCAGCGATTAGATTAATTATTCAATCATGCAACATAAATTACATTGCCTGCATTTGCGAGAAAGTTGCGAAAATGAAGGTTTATTGTCTCCTGTCTTGGTTAAAGAAGAAAGAAGACTTTCCTTGATACCTTGTGCTCATCAAAATGCAGAGGATACAAATGTGTCACATACCATTCTTCCATCGAATGAAGTCTGACAAATTGTACACAGCGGATTCTTGACAATTCTTTTTTCTTCTGGTAGAATCAATCCTGCAATGTAATTGTGCAAACTGAAATAGCCAGGAATACTTTATGATAACCTCTGATTATCTGAAAGGAGACAAAACCGTTTGTTCTAGAACAGAGTTGCATTTTTTTTAAGGTAATAACAGAGTTGCAGTTGCATGGACAGAACCCATAGTTACAGATTGCTGACACAGACTCTGTACAACTCCGACTAACAACTGAAAAAGGTTAAAATTCAGAAGAGTTTAGTAATGGAAATATGGAATGTAAGTGCAAGGACATGACACACAGAAAGAGTCTTTGAAAAAACTTACAGATAGTGGATATGTGCTAAACTTATACGGCAAACTGACGACAGTTAATAGTTACATGAATGGCACTGCACTAGTCCAACACTCACCTGACTACCTTATAAACTAAACATACATTTTAAGAATCAAGAAAAGGCTACCCAGTTATCTATGTCACTATACATCCCAGCCATCACCCCTGCTGTTAAAAGACGTCTTGGAAGTCAAATTACCAAAGATTCCTGAAAACATAGCAAGGCATTTGCTCCGAACATGGTAATGTGCTTGTGTGTTTCGACTAATGGCTACTCCTGAGAACTTAGACATATCAATTGCCCAAGCTGGTTTTACATACTCCACTGTGCTTGCCGAGCTTGCATTCGCAAATAAGAAATTTAGGAGAACATCCTCACAATTAAACAAACTATCAACAATCTGCCTTCCTATCTCAGCCTCTTTGCTCCAGTACCTCTTAAAGGCTAGCTCATGATCCATAAATGCTGCTCCTGTTAGTATGATGTTATAACCTCCTTGTTGCTGAGCATACCTCTCATTGCGGTATTCCAGAGGCCAGCCCTCAGCAAGGCGTGGATAGTATCCAACAATCCTATCAGGGTGGTCCCTCCATACCTTGAACCCACGCTCTAAGTCATCACATGTCATCATGATATCATCATCAAGCTCCATAACAGCTCCTGTTTTAATTTCTTTGTCTATTTTGAATCTGTTGTTCAGAGTATTCTTATTTTCAACTCTGATCCTAACAGGCACCATAGACTTCAATTCACCTTGCAGTGGAGCTCGACCCTTGTTCCAGACCACTACAATCTCCCTTACCGATGCACATTTAGAGTAATGCTCCACAAACATCTTCAGATTCCAAAATCGGGCGTCATAGGTCATGGTCAACAATGTGAACTGTGAGTACCTACCCCCAATAGAATATGGCTCTTCTGCACCATTGCCACCAAAGATGTAGTTAGTCCCCAAAAGAGTTAGGACTACTAATATCAATGTTATAACAGCTATATAAACTCGGTCTTTCCAAGCTCTGTAATTAATTTTCCCACCAATAAGAGATCCCAACCTGTTCACATTGCAAATAAGCCAAATAAACTTATGGCACAACAATACCTGCTTCTCTATATCAAAGGTGTCACTCCGTTTCTCAGTATGTAGTAAATACCATCTAAGTGGTAAGGTGCACTTGATTGCACCAATAAGCCCACCAAATACAAGAACCAAAATGCAAGCAGCACCATAAAATATACAGCCTACGGTCAGACGATGAATTGAGTCACCTGAGAGCACTCTGTCACCATCCATTACCCCAATCCAATGTTGACCTAATGGAAGCTGCTGGACATCAAGGTGATGGGACCTTGCACCATTCCATGCATTTCGGTCCTTGAGGGGTTTGTCAAGGACAAATGGGACTGCAACTTCCCTGTATTGATCTGCTGTCAGGACTTGAACTTTGAATACTTGGATGGTATAGCCAGATCCACCACCACGAATTTTGCCTATGCGATAAAGACTGTCATTGTAAATGAATGGCCTGCCTCCATTTCTGGCACTCGGCCTGTTGCCTGTATTATGAATTGGGTTCTGCTTGTGTGGATTCCAAGGACCAAGAGGAGAGCTGCTGAACCAAATAAACAGTTCACCTGTCTGTTTTGCGCCATAAGAACTTAAATCTGATCCAAGGAGCCAATAGGAACCCTTGAAATGTATGATGACCGAATCTACAAGGGGCCTCTCCAGAAGGACCTTTTCTAATTCCCACTTAAGGGGAAAGTCCACGGCACGATATAACTTAAGGTTTCCTTTCTTGCTGCTTTCAGGCATCATGTAAGTCTGTCAAGTAAGGCAAAGGAAAGAAAAACAGATAGATAGGAAATTATTAGAACAAACGTTTCTTTGTTGATGATCAATAATGCACAATTTTCACCAATACGTGAATAAAATATTTACCTCGTTTCCATAACTAAACACATATGGATAAGAAAGGTGCCACTCCTCGTCCAACACTACACCCAGTTGCTGCCATGTTGTGCCGGCGTCCTTGCTCACGGCAGCAGCAATGTCGCCTTGTGATGCAATGGGGTTCTTGGTCTCGAAAAACATATAAATGGCGTCCCCCTAAAGACATTGTAGCATTGCATTATGCATTCACCAAGAGTGGAGACAAACTGCAAACTAGTACTCCCTCTATCCCAAATTGTAAGACGTTTGACTTTTTGGGGCTCAAGTTTGACCACTCGTCTTATTCAAAAAATTTGTGTAAATATAGTCAAATTTAAGTCATTCTTGAAGAATTTTTATTAATAAACCAAACCACGACGAAAGAAGTGATATTTTATACAAATTTTTGAATAAGACGAGTGGTCAAATTTGGTGTCAAAAAAGTCAAACGTCTTACAATTTGGGATGGATTGAGTACTATTTTAGTTTGAAACCACAGCATAACGTCAAAATCGTGGCACTGTCATGAGATCATTATGATTAATATGCCAACTCTTTATGTAATTGAGACTTATCCGCAGCAGTAGATGATTCGTCCCTTATAAATGCACTATAAGTTTCTAATAAGACTAGGAAAGCAAAGCAAAGCTCCCCAACCTGGATGAAGAGAAATGGGTTGGCGACGAAGCTGCTAGGGAATCCAGCCTCCGCCACGTCGGCGCACGTCACCACCGGATTCGCCACTGGCCATGCTGCTCCAGGGCCACTAGAGATCCTCCACTGCATCCACAAGAACCACAAAAACCAAGCCAATTAAATAGCATCACCACGAGGAGAGGGAGAAGGGGACGAGCTCGGGGAATCGGTTACGTGCTCGATGGGCTTGAGGGAGAAGGGGGAGTCCCCGAGGAAGACGCCGGCGGACCAGGAACCCTCGGCGTCGGGACGGCACCCGCGGGTGGCCGGTGGGTGCGGGAAGCGGGGGAAGGCGGCGCGGGAATAGGCGACCGCGGCGAGGGTGAGGAAGGCGAGAGTTGCGGCAAGGTAGGCGGGCGCGGAGGGCGCTGGAGGCTGGCGGCGGCGATGCTCCATCGCCGGCCGCGGGGATGACGACGGCATGGATCGGTAGCGGTTAGAGATTTGTTGTTGATGATCGTGGCACGGCACCGCCGCCGCGAAAAGAGCAGGCAGCAGGCAAAGGGGTACGAGGCGCGCCGCGCGCAAAAGATGGCGTCAGCGACGCAGCGTTGCTGCGTGGGCGGCTTTCTTCGATGGGCCGGATGACAGAAACTCAGAAAGGCTGAGCCGTCGCCGCGCGACACGGAAGAAGGCCAGCAAGGCCTTATGATGATCCATGAACAATAGGAGCAAGCGGGCCAAAGGGAAACATGGCTCCGGTTTCTTCTTATTTTATTAGTTTAAAATCTTGTTACTACGGCTAAGACGTGCAATATTTTAGAGAATCCAGATGCACGATCAATTTTAGGAACATATAAGTTAGTTTATATTATGCTATCGGCACTGTTAGCGCCTAGACGTCCGGATGCCAGCGGCTACAGTTGTTTTCGCGCCTCCATTTCGAGTGTCCATGCATGGGCCCACGCCGCCTGGATGTCGCTCGCCCGTGCCTGCGTCACCCATGCCCACGCAGGGCCCACACCGCCCGAACATCCCACGCGCCGCACGCCCGCATGTGCAACACCCGATCTACTTTTGAAAATATCCAGACACAACACTTGTAACATAAAAAAAAGATAGACGAAACACTTGAAACATGCGTATGAAACACTTGCAAAAACACTTGAAAACCATTGCAAACATACACAATATTCAGATAAAACACCTGCAACATATATGTGGAATATATATAATATCCAAATAAACACACTTGCAACATACGTCCGAAAAAACAAATGAAACATTAGGGGACAAGCGCTTGCAACATACGTGTACAACCGTTGCAAAATATGCAACATCCCGAGCTACTTTTGCAATGTCCATACGAAATACTTGCAACATACCTCTAAAACTTCTGAAACATTTGAAATGTACACTTGCAACATGCATCGTATCCCGATGTAGCCTCTCCTGTCGTCTGCATCGGGACGTCGCAGCAGTAGCAGGAGGCGAGACCACTGGGCTTCCACGCCAGGCCCTAGAGCTTCTCCTTGCACTAGCTGCACCTGTCAACGTCGTCGGGTGGGGTGGGCGACGAACCAGCAGTGGCAGGAGCAGCAGGACGGGCGCGCGGAGCAACGGCAGGAACAACTGGGCGGGCGGCGAAGCACGAGCAAGAAGCAGGTGGGGCGGGCGGAGCGGGAGATGGCCAGGTGAGGAATTGAGTGAATATAACTAAACAAAGGTTGTGTCAGTCGGATTAGAGTAGATGAGAATTAAATTGACATAGCCCCACGCCCTACGTCCGTACGATACTCGAGTAAAGAATCGGATGCTCGGATAAAAGCATCCCCGTTATGTTATACATACTGTGGCAGAACCGCCCGAAATAGCACACTTACGGTAGGCGTTCGTCTTCCACCAGACACTAAACACCCCGAAAGCAAGCTACAGCGGGCGGTGTCCGTCGGGCACACCCCAAGGGAGAACCCGAAAGATTCACATTTTTTCCAAGGATCCAATAACGAGAACGAGTTACAATACTTGTCCATTTCATACATCAGAGTTTCTTAAAAAGTACATTATTATAATACCAAATGTTAGAGTGCGAAATGATAAACAGCAGAATTTAAAATAAACATCTAGCGATAAGAACGAGGATCTGTCTGAGCCCACCAAAAAAATCATCCACACAAAGGTACTTCTCATGCATCACCTACAACAGGGGTAAATAAACCCTGAGTACACAATGTACTCGCAAGACTTATCCATCTAGTGGAAATAATTTTTCGACTCCAAGGAACATGAGAAGTTTTATGGTTTACTGGTTTATTTTAGCAGAAAGCAATAATAATAGTGAGTCCTTATTTAACTTATTATTATTGGCCGCATTAAGTTATTATTTATCTAGTCTATATAAGCACATGTTCTACTTTTAAGCAAGAGTTGAGCAATCAGTTCCATTTTATCATCTTCCATCTTTCAGTTCTTACTACGATGCTAGAGTTAAGACAAATCGTACCGACTCGGCGGTGATTCGCGAGCCAATGTGTCCAGCTGGGTGCTCTGAAAACACACGCCCCGCTTGTACCCCAAGCTTAAGCAGGACTAGCCCATCACTCTCCTATCCCGGGTGTCCAGATTTTCGTCCAAACTTGGACTCCAAGCCCCCACTCCTGAGTCCCGGACTCAGTGTGGTGCAAGGACCTCCACCATCTCCGCCTCCAATCAGTCGGACCGAAAAGAGCCGGATCCACGACAAGAGAGCAACAAGTCTTCCCTGTGCCTATACCCAAGTATGCACTCGGGACAATAGATCTGTGACTTGCCTAACGTCCATTGCAACGACCGATCCTTAATTGACACGAACAGGGAAAAAGTGTAACCGAGCTATGCCTCGTTGGCCGTAGGACACAACTCCTTACACCCACCAGTACCCAAACCATATCCCTATCCGGTCACCATCTTTCTTTCCACCATTTTATCATGAGTGATCATATTTTATCACCTATTTGCGAGTAACGGCAGGTTACTCACGCTACCGATATCCTGAGCATAACAGCTACTCGACCTGTACTAGTAGGACTCATAGGTAGATATATTTATGCATGTAGTTTCCATAAAATGCATGTAACTTAAATGCACATCACATATATATATTCAGTGATCATTAAAATAGGGGTTATACACCGGGGCTTCTCTTGGATAGGCGACGGGTTAGAAAGCTCAGCACCAACAGGCTCCGGGGGTCCCTCTACACAAGGATCTCCTCCTCGTACTCCTCAATCACCTCGTCATACTCTTGCTCGTTGACGGGCACGAAATCTACCAGCTCGTGATCTACATGCATGAAATGATGGTGCAATGCTTAGTAATATAGCAACAGCAACTCTTAAAATAAAGGTACATCCGTTTAACCACTATGATAGTGCTACTGATCACAGTATTAAGCTATCTATCGTTGCTGATAACTAATTTGACATATGGCATACAATATTATAACAACTACATGTATTTTTACTCCTAACGCTGATTTACGCTATATACGATAAAGCAAGGGTAATAGCTATTCTATTTCGCAACATATTCTAAGGCTACAAAATTTACAGCAAGTACATAATAACCTAGCGAGCCTACTGTAAAATTTTTATAGCTATATCCATCTCCAATCTACCACGAAAATTCCTATAATTATTAATCCACATAATATTAAGCCATCTAGTTTAAATTTATGAACCTACCATTGTCATAGCTAACTGTAATCTAACTGTACTAACAAGTAGATGGTAATTTTGTGAATCTAACAAAATTGGTTTCATTATTTTTGGACGTCTACAGAATTTACTACAATTTATCAAAGTTCAGCTCATAACTAAATTAAATAAGCATTTCTACTTTACTGGAAATCGAAGAAACCGCTTTCTAGCTTGCGGCCCAACTCGCGCGGCTCGGCCCACAACGGCGCGACGCGCGCGCACGTGCAGCGCGGCCCACGTAGGGGCGTGGCCCAGCCGGAAGGACCCGCGCGCGTCGGTCAAAATGCAGAAACGCCCTCGGACTATCCCGTAATCACCCGAGCGCTAAGCGCACTGTTCCGCTAGTCTACCGTTTTACAGCTACGCCCTCGGAAAACCCTACCTTCACAACAGCTACATCCCCGACACCCACGCGCGCTCCGGCACGGCGGCGCTGGCACCAGTGGCATACGCCGGCCACAGCAGACCTTCCCCTCCCCAACAACTGAGCCGACCCTTACCTAGGAGCGAACACGAAGTGCCGAGCGAAGGAAGTGCGAGCCGAGATGTAGCAGCGCGGTCTGACTACGGTGGCGGAGGTCTGTAGTCACGGCGGTGACGTTCCGGTGAATGTCAGCAAGGCCAGGGCAAAATAGGTAGCTAGTGAGCTCCAGTGACTCACCACGGAACCCTTCGAGACCGTTATTCGTTCGGAGATGGCCCGAGCCGAGCTGACCACGTGTGCGCGGGGTGGTGCGGCGACGCACGGCGATGGCACGGCCGCGTCAGGGAAAGCTGGGCTACGGTAGCATTACGGCCGAGGTGCGTAGGGTACTTAGGAGGGGGAGATGAGGCCGGTGGTGCAAGGAATCGCCACGGGGTGCTTTGGATAGGTGGCTTACCGACGGCGTGTGCCTGTCCGGTCTTAAGGACCCGGCGGAGCGGCGATTCTAAATTGAGGCACTGTGCGGCGGTATAAGCAGCGAGGTGGGGTCGGTTGTGCGGCTAGCTACCCAGCAGAGCCGAGGATGTGACTAATTGGATTATGGCGCTGCCATCACGGCGAATCGAGGGAAACGGCCCCGCCGGCCAAGACGACAGCGGAGACAGGGGAGTTAGGCACGGCCTGGCTCGACACTGTCGTGGCCGTCAACGCAAGGTACCAGCGCACACGGGCGATGGGGAGCAGTGAGGCATGCACAAGACGTCGCCACACTGCACCGCTCACGCGCCGACGGCGACTCGGCACTGCTCGCCGCAGAGGATGGCAGGTCCGGGAAGGTAGCGACGAAACGTGGCAGCGGACACGGGCGTGCTGGCAAAATTAGGCGGCCATCCCACGCGCATGCAGCTGCACTGCGTCAACGGCAATAGTGACACGCAGGTGTTGCTCGTGAGCGCGCCTGGCGAATGGCGACACCAGAACAGCGCAAGCAGACGCGACAACGGGCAGAGCAGCAGGGCCCACCGGTGTAGTGCGTGTGCATGCGCGAGCGCGTGCCAGGGCACAACAACAAGGACCCTGGCCAGCAACGCGGCCATGCGCGTGGGCGGTGCGCGCGGGCGCGACGGCGGTGCAGCACAGTGCGGCGATGAGGAACCGCGTGGCAGGGCGCAAGCGAGAGCTTGCGCGGCGTGCCAAGGCAGCAACGCGGCGTGGTCAGTAGGGTGGTACTAGTGGCGAGGACGGCCGGTGCAGCGGCGCGCGCGTGGCGCGCTCGCAGGGCAGCAGACGTGGCGACGACGAGCGCTGGCGTGGCAACACCGAGAGCTGAGCAAGGTGACCGCGGCCAGCGTTGGCACCGTTCACAGATATGTGACCTGCACGCTTATTAAAGCGGCTCAAAAACTCAAACTCGATACTCCAAGCGCCAAACCAGTTGTTCTACAATAAAAAGGGTACCTAGGGCTAGCCAACCGTGCCAAAACATCTCGCCACTTCTTATCTCGATCGCTCTACAAAAATTGTCGAACATGGCTGCGTCGACCCATTTTTAAACTTACACGAAATGACTTAAACTTCGAACGGTTTCGCGTCGCATTCCTTTCACAAGCTACTTGACACACTAGCTAGCGAACCCCATTTCCGACTGCAAGTATTTCACCGTCACCCATGAAGTTTATACTACCCACTTTATTAAAGTTCACATACGCGTCCTATAGCATTTCCGTTCAGTAAAAATCATTAAGAACCCTAAGTAACACCATGCGGCATGAAATGTAAACTCGTTGCCTGTTTCAAATGAACGCTTCAAGTTTCAAAATTGCTTTATACCCTATAATACCAACATGTATACACAAATATGATACTTATGCAGTGTGTTAACGAAAAGCTGTACAATATAACATCGAGGGTGTTACACATACTCCTAGATGGAGAGGGAGCAGGATCAGAACTAGTTTTTTTTAGATGAAAGAGAATTATATTAGATCGTAGCTGAGTACATCATCACGTTATAAGCACACTGGAATACACTATGTATATCCAGAATCTGATCATGTAAATTGTACACACGCTTTGTATAGCCCAAAATCTCAACTCCAAGCCTATATGACGATTCGTATAGATGACCGCACAGGCAAATACTCGGCAAAAGGCCTGAGAACATATGCCAAACGAACGACGGCTAACATTCCTACAGGCGAAGTGGAGAAACTTCTTCTTTCTTGTGTCTTCATTCTTCATCTTTCCGCCACCAAAGAATAAGAAAGACTGATAAAAAACTTATTCTCCCTAGTCCTTTGTTGTAGTCAGATCTAACCACAACAAAACGGAGAAGAGACCACATCATCTCCGTCTTGATGTCGCCGTCTGGAAAGCCAAATCTCCATGTCATCAAGTCGATGAAGTTGCTGATGTTGTCCTCGTCTTCAACAGAGCCGTCATGGAGAAAACAAATCCACCCTACCCCCTAGACGTCGCCGGGGAGGAGGAGGGGGAGGAGGAGATAAATCCTCAATACCAAAAAAATTGGCATGAAGAGACTCTAACCCTAGATGACTCGATCTATAAAAAACTTATAATCCCGCTCCTTCCGACCTTCGGCGAGACAGCAGAGGGCGACCAACGGTGGTGGATGTGAAGGCGACTGCAGCGGCGGCGCCAGGGCGAGCGACTCGCTAGTCGCAAAGCGGCGGCTCTGCCCTAAACTAATACCGTCCTTTTTCAGATCAGAACTAGTTAGGCCGATTCCGTTTACTGTTCCTATCGTGTCGAGACGGAACAAGATTCTTACGTCTCCCGTCCTTCCATGAATCAATGACCCCCGCGAGACCAGCTGAGCAAACGAAGGCGAAGGCTATAACGTGCTTGCCAAATCGATCTCTGGGCGGCGCGGCGACCGCGCCCTCCTTCCCGATCGAGGGAACCTCGGCCGGAACAGATGGACCAGCTGCCTCGAGACGTGCTAGCGGACGTCCTAGCCCTCCTGCCGCCGCGCACCCTCGCCGTGTCGCGCTGCGTCTGCAGGGAGTGGCGTGACGTCGTGGACGCGGACGCGCGCTGCCAGCTGCGCACGGACCTCCTCCCGGTCTCGGTGGCCGGCATCTTCGTGATCACGAACGAGTCTGAGTTCCCGGAATTCTTCGTCCGTCCCTCGATGGCGCGTAAGATCGCCGGCGATCTCGAAAGCTACCTGAAGATGGACGAAGGCTATGACGTCTACTCTCTCTCAGGCATCTCGGATTGCTGCAATGGCGTCATCCTGCTTGATGATCACGTGATCAACCCGGCGACGAGGCAATGGATGCGCTTGCCGCCTTATCCGACCTTGCCCAAGGGAAAACAGAGCTCAAGACGACGCTGTTATTATTATTCGTACCTTGTGTTCGATCCTACGTTATAGCCATGTTTTGAGGTGTTTTCGATGAAAGGTCCACTTGATTACAAGGACGAGTTATCAGAGGAATCACAATGGCCGCCGTTAGAATACATGTTACGTGTTTACTCATCTAACACACAGAGGTGGGAGGAAAGGCCTTTTCTCCGTGAGGAAGAACACACAGCAACTGCTGCCAACTTATGGTCAAAATTGGATTGCGGACGATGGCATGCTGTCTACTGGCATGGAGCACTCTACGTGTATTGGAGGTTAACTTTCATTACGAGGTACGTAGCTACTTGTCCCATAAACCTTTATGTTTAGTTTGTTTTGATTTCTTCCATTGACGTTTTGAAGTATGCAGGGTCGCTTATAGTAATTTTTTGCCAATGGTTTTATATTGCAGGATAAACGTGTCCACTAATAAGTACCAAGTAATTAACCTGCCGCCTGACATTAACTCGACAAGGTATCATCAATTCCGTCTTGAAAAGTCAGTGGGTGGGGTACATTTTGCGGTGGCTTGTCAGCAGAGACTCCAAGTTTGGTTCCTGGATGAGTCTGGTAGCAAGACGGAGTGGGTATTGAAGCATGTCACCAGGTACCCATTCAGTCATTATCATACTGATAGGCCCTGGATTTTACAAGATGGTTCCTACGGCTACGATGATGATCAAGAAGAAAACAACAAAGAACCAACAGCAGCGGAAAATGATTCTGATTGGGACTCTGATGCTGATAATGCCGCTGACATTGATCTTGACTCCTGCCCGTATATTGAAGTACTTGGATTCCATCCTTACAGAGATATTGTCTTCTTGGTTTTCTCGAGAAAAGTCATGGCGTATTATTTTAATAGCTCAAAGATTCAACATTTGGGGGAGCTGCTCATCAGATATTGTTATCAAGTCATACGGGAGGGTTTCGTATATACACCTACTTGGATTGGAGAGTTACCTGGAGCCAATTATCTAGTAAGATCAAGAAACTCGTATAGTATAGAGGAAGAGGACTTGCTGCATGGTATAGAGGATTAGTAGTATGTCATATGCATCAGAGTTGTGAACTGATGCAGCAGTCGCCATGTGTAATAAAAATGGTGGATGATGTTCTGATGATCCACCAAAAGCAGAGAAGGCGAGTCACAGTCTGGTCCGGTGAGATGGAGTGCTCTGGCAACAGGCCATCAGAAAGCTGAATAGGATTGATTTTTTTTAACTCATTTATAGTATTACATATGAAAATCAAACTAAATTTTTTGTAACATCAATTTTAATTTCAGAATTAAGTTTAAGGGAACAATTAGTTTTAAAAATGAGGATTATACTGAAATAGATAGAATTACCTCAAGATTATTCTTTCAATTTACAGCCGGAATCAAGCTAGGCACAAAGGCGTTTGAATGTTTGAATCATGCGCCCCGCCCCCGCATGGTTGGGGAAAATATGAGTGCATGGTTTGGGTTGGTTAAAGTCAGCCTAGATAGGTGTGTGGCCGCGTGGTTACGGCGTTATTGCTTCCTGTGATTGCTGCAGGTTGAGGGCTTGGTGAATGGCTTCATTGGAGTTTGAGTAAAATGTACCTTCAAGTTCAAGATAGCACATGATGACATGAACGAGGTACCCAAGCATGCATTACCAGATGTAGAAGACTCCATCTGATGTAGACACAAATTTTCAATATAAGATAGTAAAATGGACCTTCAAGAAAATCATCTATGATGGAAATCAAATGTTTGTTTCTGAGTTCTAACCTATTTTCAGAAGTCCACAGGCACCGTAATGTATTTGTCTCAACGGGCAACTCCAAGTACATAGGGTGGCAACATTCTCGCCAGAGTACAGAGTACACCAACCATGCAATAATTTGGAGCACCTAAAACCATACCAAGAATAAACATGCATATCCATCACTGGATGTGCAATTGACATCAAAATTGCTTTATTTACAGTCCTACAAATAATTCAAAAATACAAATGTTATAGGGTTCACAATATCTTCCTAGCCTTTAGATATGAGTACATGAGGAAAAATCCAGCTACTGCTCCAACTACTATTCCACCAGTCGTCGCCCAAAATGCCCACTGCTCGAAAACAAACTTATTGTCAACTATGGATAGTGTCGATACATGGCACAGAACCAGAAAAAAAGGTAAGAGTGCAAAGCTATACCGCATTTGTTTCCAGATATGATTTAAGATTCATGCCAAATATTCCTACAAACAAAGTACCCGGCGTTAGTCTAAGAGTGGTGTGGCAAATATATACAAAAAAAAGAGCTCGATGCAAAACATAATATTTACAAATTGTAACAAAATTAAGATCCCTATACCTGCAATTAATGCTCCTATTGCAACGCAAAATGTTCCCACTTGAAGAAGCAGCTCCACTCTACTTACTTCAAGTCGTCGGGAACTGCAAGGGTTCCAAGCAATGGTAAGCAAAACATAACCCATTATATGTTCAAATTTAGAGCAAATTTGACACATCCATTTCTCATGACAGAATTAGCAGTATTTCATTATTCTTGATTATAGGATGCAGGATTCAGAAAACAAACATGTAACATGAGCCAGCAGAAAGAGCTGAGGCAAGTAACATGCAGTATTTCCCGTCTTCACTTTTTGAGGCATGTAGACAATAAATTGGCCATATTTTGGATGACTTCTGTCTTATGTATTCATAGTAATTCAGGTTGATGAGCATGTTTCTATATACAAACTTGGTCAGCTTCAAATTCAGAAAAAGAAACCAGTAGGAATGACAGAAAACATTATCATTTTTTGTACCCTGGCAGAGGCAATAAATATACTATTATATTGGTCATGTGGCAGATACTAGTTTATTTTTATATTCAATTCCAAGTTGTTGCATCTACTGAACTCTTATTGGTGCCTTTATTTTAATATTCAAATCTATAGGGGAAGCCAATAGTTCCCACAAATGTAAGTATCATCAACTACAGCTTAGTAAGAGAGGCATTAGCGAAAGAGAGAACACGCAGCATCTCTTGAGCTCAGCTGGTGACAATGGACAGACCTTAAGTTCACAGCAATCGAGTCTTCCATTTCTCTTGCAGAATCCAGAAGTCTCTCTGCTTGACCATGACATGATTCACATCTGAAAGAATGCACAATAAAATAATAAGGGGGCTATTGCGTTATTGCCCCTATTTTGAACCCTAGTTGTGATTTTACCCTCATTTTCTTCCACTTTGTGTTTTTACCCCTATTTTTCCAAAACGAAGGCTCCGTTTACCCTACTCCGTGAACAGCAGGTAACGGTGTTAAAAAAGTTGACAGCTGACAAGTTTGCCCTTTCGAATATTACGTTTTTGCCCCTATTTCAAAACCCAATTGTGATTTTACCCCAACTTGCTTCCACTTTGTGTTTTTACCCCTACTTTTCCAAAACGAAGGCTCCGTTTACCCCAATTCTTAACTCAGTTATCTACATCCGGATCAAAGCAATTAAAAATTAATAAAAGCCCTGTGAAAAGACAAACTTACCCCTTATATCTCGGTCGTCTCTCTCAGGGTTGTCCCTCTCAACACTAGCAGCGCGATCGGTGGGTCTTGGCGCTGGCGAAGGCGGCGGCGGCCGGTCACACCCATGGTGGGTCGCTTCACGAGACGCGCTGCGCGGCGCCTCGCGGGCCGCCGCAGCGCTGCCAGCCCGAAGCTGGCTCTGCTTGCTGGCACGGCCTTGGTCACACCATGGTACGCCATGCGCCACGATGTCGCGTGGTCACGGCCCCAAGCAGTCGCCAAAGCCGCTGCCACCATCAGCGCTTAAGGCCAAAGTGTCCAGCCTTACAACGTCAAGACGCGCCGCCATGCTCAAGCGCTACCGCCTGCTGCTCTGACGCCGCTTCTTCCGCTGGCCCCATCACGCCCAGACTCATCACAACCGCCCAACGCTCACTGCTAGCGTTGAGAGGGACGACCCCGAGAGAGACGCACCGAGAGATAAGGGGTAAGTTTGTCTTTCACGTGGCTTTTGTTAATTTTTAATTGCTTTGATCCGTATGTAGATAATCGAAAGTTAAGAATTGGGGTAAACGGAGCCTTCTGCTTTGGAAAAGTAGGGGTAAAAACATAAAGTGAAAGAAAGTGGGGGTAAAATCACAATTGGGGTTTGAAATAGGGGCAAAAACGCAATATTCGGAAGGGCAAACTTGTCATCTATCAACTTTTTTAACACCGTTACCTGCTGTTCACGGAGTAGGGGTAAACGGAGCCTTCGTTTTGGAAAAGCAGGAGTAAAAACACAAAGTGGAAGAAAATGGGGGTAAAATCACAAATGGAGTTCAAAATAGGGGCAAGAACGCAATAGCCCCAAATGATAATGGCTGCCAACAAGAAAAAGACTAAGAACCAAAAAAAACATATTGTTTGCTGGAAATGATAGGAATACCGTTGAAGATAATTTTCCAATAACATTTCAATTTCTTCCTCTTCCTCTGTTAAAGCCAAAAAAGTTATTCATAAATCAAGTCAAAAGCAACAATTTGCTTCCAAAAATAAGTAGATCACAGATCATAAAAGGAAACTTCAATGTTGTAAGAAAAAATAATCTCATCAATCAAACAAAAACCCAATCAATCTCCTAATTAAATAAATTACAATCCACTCCAATTTTTTTATTCTAGTTGTCTTCTTTATTTTCACCGAAACCGTTTTTTTTTTATAAAACATTACATGGTACTTGTTCTTTGACATATGAAATCCTTATGTGTAAAGTAATGTATAAATTGTTAGATATGTACACATGTTTTATAAATGTTGTACAAGCATATGGCTATAAACACATATCTAACATAAATTTATATGTCTGCTATAAGATTTCTTCCAGATAAATAAATAGCACAGAATTACATAGACTAAGCTGTGAAAATCCTTGCTAAACGCAGTCATTTTTTTTTGCATATGTCAATTTAACTAGACAACTAGTCTAATAGCATGACATCGATTTCATATTTAAGTATCCAGCTAAAGATGCAAGCTTTACCGAGATAAATACAATAGTCATAATCTCCAGAAATATGCAAAGTTACAATGATAAATTACAGCTGTACCTTCAGCAATCTGCTTCTCTAAAGGAACAGAGCACTCCATGTTATCACTCAATCTATCAAGTGTGCAATTTCTCCCCATTATGCATATTCGTCGGATTTCATGAGGATCATCTAGGAGATCAATAAGCATCTGTTTGAGGTCACCTGCTCGTGAACCCAGCTCAACCTTGACACATGAGTACATACATAAAATTAAAATAAAGTTTGAGAAGTGGCTGTGGAAATTGATTCCAGAGTGTAGTTTTTATACCAATGCTTGTTTACTTAGACGAAGCTGCTCCAACACATCAGCTGTCAATCGATTTGGTAGAACTTCTAGCAATGTAGCCACCTGAGATGCAAGTGGAAAGCAATATTTGTCATCAAAGTTTTAAGTGCTCGAGTAATATATAATATATGATTCAATACAAATACAAAGACCTATGGTGGCGTTTAAACCACCAAGCAGCTCATAAACTTCATTTCACAATGAAATGAAAGCAAAAAACTACTAACTGCAGTAGTGAACTACTAAGTCCCACCATACCTAAATCAGCACATTGAAAATGCAGAATCAACTTGGTAGGGCTCTTCCCTACTGTATCTCAAAGGAGCAGAGTCAAAAGCTGACGTTAATTGATTAACTTTCTGAAAGTGCTGCAATGACATTTGGCACAGCATGTCCTGTATGAGGTCTGCTGTAGAGTTAGTCACTTAGTAGCCAAAACTGGGAGTATATAATCTCTTATTCTTTGTACTGGTTGATGTATCTGAAGATCTGGAGCTCGGATTAGTTAAGATGGGAAATGTGTTATAGGAAAGGGATGGACTGTGAATTTGCAGTTGGGCTTCTGAAAGGCATATAAGAGATGGAAATAACTGGAGGCATTGCTGTTTGAATTCCACAGTGTGCACTATAATGAAAGTTGCCTAAATTGAAATCCCAATGAAATAGGGGATGGGAGTAAAACCTTAAAGGTT